GTCCTGGTCTGGTACGGGTGCGACACTGAGGGTTGCGATCCGGTGCCGGACACGAAAAAAGACAAAAAAAAAGGGAAAAAAAAAAAAACATTTTTGGGCCAGCCTGGTGGCGCACTGGAGAGTGCGCCGCTTGGGAGTGCGGCAGCGCTCCCGCCAAGGGTTCAGATCCCATGTGGAGACCGCCTGTGAGGAACCGATTCCCAGGGTTTCCTTCTTGGGCGAGTTAGAGCTACATGGAATCAGGCAATACAATTTTTGTGCAGGTGGGGCAAAGGTTTTCTTTGGTCCATTTCCACATTCTGAAAGAAATTTGATCATCAAGTGGAATTTATGAAACATATAACAGAGATTATTAGAAATTGACTAACAGAGACTGCCAAACATTGCCCATTGACTGGCCATATCAGAATTATATGAAGAGAGCTTTTAACAAGTTCAGATTCCTAGGTCTTTCTCCACCCACTCCACCCACCAACATGAAGTACTTTGAAGTGAGGACCAGAAATTATAATTTTACAAAGCTAGTTGATTCTGATATACTGCCAGATTTGGGAACCACTGAGTAATTCACAGGTGATAAATATAAGCATGCAGGAAGCTGAATTATTCAAAAGGCCCAGCTTTTATACTACCTCCTCAATGAAAATTATACTGATCCTCCCAGGTATAAGTAATATCTCTTTCTTCTGAGCTTCCTGTGAAGGTTAATCCTAGGTGTCAACTTGATTAGATTATGCAATACGGAGAAATCTAGTAAAGCTCTTTTTAGGTGTGTCCATGAGGGTGTTTCCAGAAGAGACTAGCATGAGAGCCTTAGTGGACTGGGTGGGAAAGATCCACCCCAATATGGATAGGAACCATACAATCCTCTGGAGCTCAGAGAGAACAAAAAATGGAGAAAAAAGGCAACTCTCTCTCTCTCCATCTGCTGGAGCTGGGACACACTCTTCTCTCCTGTCTGTGGACATCAGAGCTCAAGACTCTTCAGCTTTGGGCTCCAGGACTTACACCAAGGGCACCATCAGCTTCCCTGGTTCTGAGTCCTTCGGACATGGACTGAGCCACGCTACTAGTATCCAGTTTGTAGACAGCTTATCACAGGACTTCTCTTCACAATCACGTGAGCTAATTTCCCTAATAAATCTCCTCTCAATATATTTATAACATACCCTACTTTGTCTCTTCGGAGAACCCTGACTAATACACTTCCATGACACCTTGGGTTGGCCAGTTAGCTCAGTTGGTTAGAGTGCTGCTTTGTAACACCAAGGTCAAGAGTTCAGATCCCAGTACCAGCCAGCTGCCCAAAAAGGAAAAGGCCATAATTCTTTGCACATCTCTGGTGGAAACTTTGCCACATTCAACTTTATGTTATAAATATTTAAATGTCTTTTCTCTCTCTATGAATTCATACGTTCCTTGAGCAGAACTGTTTCTAAGTCATATATATATATACATTCTTTTTCCTCAAAGCATTTAGCACGTAGTAATTTGAACAGAGTGGACACAAAATGGTTGTGGAGTGGATGTGAACTGAACTGCCCTCTGCTCTGTTGGTTAGAGTTGGTAGGATGTCCAGAGGGGAAAATGAGACAAAAGTACAAAGTGAATCTCCCTCACTCTTGACTCACCTTTATTCTGCAATGTTGTCATCATTCAGCTCAGAAATGACACTTTCTTTGCCTCTGTTAGAAAAAAGAAATTAACTTCTATAACTCTGATTAAACGTGATTTCTTCTTTGTCTTTGGTTCAGGATCTCTTTGCCTAGGACCCCTAAACTGCATTTCTGCCTTCTTGACCACACTTCTATCCCATCAGCTGTGATAATTACATGCCACGGAATAATGAGAGCTACTGTTTTAAAGATTAACAACAATCCTTAGTGTTTTAAGTGCCTAGAACCATGTCCAACATAAGACAGGCACTCATGGGCTTCCAGTCAAAATGGTGGAACAGATGGTCCCCAGAGTCACTCTCTCCCACAAATCAACAAATTTACAACTATTAAAAAGCAACAACAAGGGCCAGCCTGTGGCTCACTTGGGAGAGTGGTGCTGGTAACACCAAAGCCACAGGTTCAGATCCCTATATAGGGATGGCGGGTTAGCTCACTTGGGAGAGCGTGGTGCTGACAACACCAAGTCAAGGGTTAAGATCCCCTTACCAGTCATCTTTAAAAATAAATAAATAAATAAATTTTTTAAAAAAGCAACAACAGCCAAGCTGGGGCCGCTAGAGCTCAGGGGAAGAGGAGGAGAGACCTATGGAGTGCACGAAGGCAGGAGATACCATGTGAGAGAAAGAAAGAACAGCTCCAACCATTTCAAGCCCTGGCCACTTCAAGGCTGGTGAGCTCATACAGCAGGAACTGGCAAAAGCTTCAGCTGTGCCCTCTGGATGGAGTTGCTTGGAAGTGGCAGGGGAGAAGAGGGCCTTGGTGGCCCCCAGGCCAGCAAGGCCACTAATAGGGTTCCCATATAGGAGTGAGGAGTCACAACAACTGAAAAAAAGGAGCCACTCAGAGGCCGATGAGTCATCGTAAGGAACCAGCGCACAGCCTGTCCCATGGGAAGTGCTTGGAGCATGGGTGGTGGGGGAGATGGGCCCACTGGGAGAACATTGGGGCACAGCAAGGACAGCTGATCTGCCCCCTGATCAGCTCAGGACCACTCAGTGGAAACTGGTCAGGAATACAGAACTGCAGGGGGAGCAGTTTGCTGAAAAGACTCAGGTCCAGACCAGAGTTTCTACACAACCCAGGTGAACTGGATCTCACAAGACCTGGAAGAACCTATAAAGTCAACCATTAAAACCTGAGCTGTGGGCCGGCCCATGGCTCGCTCAGGAGAGTGCGGTGCTGATAGGGCCAAGTCAAGGGTTAAGATCCCCTTACCGGTCATCTTTAAAAAAAAAAAAAAAAAAAAAAAAACCTGAGCTGCACAAAAAGCCTTCCCCAGGGAATCAGCAGGAAAGCAGCAATTTAGCTCAACCACAGGGCTCAAGTGCTGGTCCCAACAGGAAGTTCCCCCATTTTAGAAGTAAGAAAAAGACAACAGATTAGTTCCATTGCAGAGTCTAAGTGGTACGAACAGCAAATAATCCAACGCAGAACTGAAAGAAAAAACAAAATACCCACAGACCAGAGACTAAGTTTGATATTAACTAGTAAAGGTCTCACATCACCAAGAACACCTATAAAACCTAGAAGGACCAGAAGTCCCCTGGGCTACTAAGCCAGGGAGGGCGGAGGGCTGGGGACCTCAGCCATACCCCCCGACACCTGCAACCAGTCCCAAGGGTAGGGGTCCAAGGGCCTCAGCCATGCCCTGCCGACACCCACAACCAGACCAGCGACAACCACCAAGCTGCCGCAGGAAGCGCCCTGGGCTTCCAAGCTGGCACAGTGGTGGGGCAAGGGCTTCAGCCACTCCCCTCTGACATCTGCACCCAGCTCAGCAATGACCAGGCCACTGCTGGAAGCCCACTGGTCTCCCACGCAGGAATGATGGGGGCACCACAGGCCTCAACTCTGCCCCTCCTCCTTCCTCCTTCTCCCTCCCTATTTCCTTCCCCTTTCTCCTGTCCCCCTCCCCCACAGCTGCTCCACAACATCATAGAATGTAAAAAAAAATACATTAATAAATAAACAAACTTCAAAAATACATAAAATAAAATAAAATGTATGTCTACATAATATGCCTATATATCCACAAACTATCCCTGGAAGAATATACAAGAAACTGATCAAAATGCCTTTGGGGAGTAGAACTGGGTGAACAGGGGTGGAAAGAAGCTTTTCACTCAACTCCCTCGTGTGTCTTTGGCACTTTATAACATACATATATTACCACTTGAAAAAATGGGTTTTTTTATTTTAAGTTCTTTAAATAAAGTAAAAAGTATTTTGACCAACTTAAAAATGCAAACTTTCCCAATATTTAGGTTCAAATCCTTATCTAAAACCTACCTAAGCCAAAGTGTGTTTCTGGAGCCCCAACCAAATGGATAGAATTGTGAATCACTGTTGAATTAATAAGATGTAGTAAATCTATACACAGTGATGTATAATAGTTCCCCTTAATCTAAGGCGGGAGTATGATGAACAACACTACTTCTAAACAAAAGCTCTAACCTGATCGACAAAGGGAAAGCCAGAAAGTCACTTTCTGATAACTCAAGTTGCTGCTCCTCAGTCTCAGATGAATTACCTTCTTCCACAATAATAAATATTGAAATCTGATTCAGAGAAAGGAAAAAAAGAAAAATATAAACTGTTAATAAATATACAAAATTCCACCAACTTTGTTCTGTACAGCTACTAAATGGCTAGGGACTCTAGACCCAGGAATAACATTTGAGGTTTTAATTTCTCTTTTTTTGCCTTAGATGAAAAGGAGAGAGACAGAGACCAAAGCCTTTAAGTAAGAAAGTAAAAGAACCAGTATGGTTCCATAAACTGGATCCCACTCACTCAATAAGAAAAGAGAGTCAATAAGGAGGTAAAAAGAAACTAGAAATAATAAAGGGAACCAAAGAAAAGTGAATATGGATCTCAAAAAAATAGAAACCGTTTTCTTTCACTTGGAACACCAAAAAGGTAATTTTAATTTTGAAATGAAATCCCCCAGTTCAGCGGTTCTCAAAAGTGTGGTTCAAAAACCCAGAGGAGTCCTCTCCCTTTTCCAACTACGTATCTGTGTTAAAATGGATTTTCTCATACGCTTCGACCAAAATGATATCACACAACAGACCGAATGCAGAAACAAGTGAGAATACAGCTGTTTTCTATTAAGCCAGAAGTGAAAGAGATTTGCAAAAACGTAAAACATCATTCTTTACACTAATTTTCTTTTGTTTAGGAAAACGTATTTTTCATAAAAATGTTAACTTGTAATGGGTTTATCATTATTTCTAAATTAAAAATAGTTCACATTTTCCTCAGTTTTAATTTCTAATATGTTAATATAGATACAAACCACACAAAAGCTCTTTGGAGTCCACCATAAATTTTAAGATCATGAGAGGGTTCTCAAGCCAAAAAGTTTGAGAACTGACCTAGCGAAATAACTTTGTCTTGCCAATACTTTTCAAAAAAAATTAATCCTTCACCTTTCCCCCATTTAGAAAGTGTTCACGCATTTCCCCCTCCTGACCATCCAATTATTCCCTCTTTATATTGTTCTTGGAATCCTTGAACTAAGAAAACAAAAGTAAAATGTAGAATTGCCCTATCATACAGACTCCCTGAGCCTCAAAAAGCTGTATTTAAAGATTATATTTTAAGTTTCCTTTAAGGAGGAGTCTGATTTCCTTTTGCTATTAATGTCTAATAGTTTGTGGACTCCTGTTTATTTTCATGCCTCGATTAAGAGCAGGCTTTCTTCTTTGTGTGTGCACGTGAGCTCAGCAAGCCTGATTTCAAACTTTTAACAAGAAAAAGGACAAAAGATTCCAGCTACCCTCACTGCCCATAACAAGACATTTACCATCAGAAGTAACTGTCTGAACTAAACCTTGCACAGGAGCGTATAAATAACATGGTGAACGCAAGCTGCTTGGCTAGAGTACAAGGAAGCACAGACATGGCCACTTATCACCAAAATACACCATCTTTCTCTTGGGACTGCTCATCTCCTTCATGTTCTTGCTGGAGACTGACGGCCTGCCATGTTCCCACACGTGCCCCCAGCTGTGACCGACCTCAAACTAGTCTTTTTGGGTTTTCACTTAAAGGCATACATGCCCATGAACTTCCACATCCCGCACCGTTTCCCCTCACAAGTGTCAAGGTTTGGAACTACAAAATGCCTAAATCTACCTTGAAAACCAAGGGGAAGGACTTTTGGTAGGCTTCCCTTTTTCCCCTCTCTTCCCTCACCAATTCTCTCTTAGGGACAGCAACTAAAGTCAGAGATATCACAAAGTCAAAAGTCCTCGACTCTCCTCAAAGGGTAAAAGAGCGACTTTCTAGCCTCTTCACCATCAAGAATCCCACCATGAGAGAATTTCCCCTCAGCTCCCGCTGAGGCTCCAGGATCCTCATTCTCGCTCAAATCGTCGTAGCCCGCCATGATATTGGGTTATTTTTGTTTGTTGGGGGTGAGCTGAAAGTTAAGAGATTCTGAGGAAGAGGGGTAAGTGTTGGTTATCGCCCTGAAGAGAAAGTTTCTCCTCAGGCAACAAGTACCAGGATTGGCCGCGCCTAGCACCTTCAGTTGCAACCGGAGAAGAACAAGCTACCTTCTGAGGTGAGGAAGACCTAAAGGAGAAGAGGAGACTGAACTACTGCAGCGACCCTAGAAGCCCCTCCGGCCTCGACCCAGTTTTCCCGCCACCAAGAAAAGGCCCGAGGACGCACACAAGCCCCACCTCCCAGCGGCGTACACGCAAGGCCACGGCGCACGCGCAGCTGGAAGCTGCCTCTGCGTTTGCGCAGCTGAGGTATTTCCGCCAACTTCGCCAAATGTCCTGGAAAAACTACAAATCCCAGAATCCTCATTGGCTTCGCTTTTTTAGGCGGCAGCAGCAGAGCCTGATTATTCGTGAAGCACATCTTCCTTTTACTAAATTTTCTGTTACAGAGTGCCTTTTCCTTCCTCTTTTTGCTCCCTGATTCCTACTCTTCCTTCTAATCTCCTTCACACCCTTATTTTAGTATTTCGAGACGATCCTGAACCCACTCTCGCTTCTACCGCACTCTTCCTTCAGCCAAGCACTCTGTTGGCAGGGAGACCGAGCCGCCCATCACCCTGGGGAAACGGCGTGGAAGCGTTTCTTCCCCATTGGCCGAGGCAAGGGGGGCCGACAGCAGACCGTATCCTCTTCCCCGCCCACACGTTTTTATATAAGGCGGCGCGAAGCCTCAGAGTGCGTTTGGGAACTTCTGCGTGCGAGGTGGCGGCGGCGGGGCGTCAGGGAAGCCCGCGGGCCGGTGGGCTCGTACGCAGGCGCCGGGTGGTGGGCGGAGGCGTTGGCGGCGGGGCTGTGGGTGTGGAGGCGGAGAGGAAGGCGTGGTGTCCCCAGGCAATCGCGATTGGGGGAAGGCCGAGGAGCGAGAGAACGACTCAGCCATTTCTGGGAAAGAGGAAGTTGGACAACATCGGCTGTTTTAGTGGTTTTTTTCCCAATTCGGCAGAGAATATTTTCGAGGGGGGTGAGTTAAAATGACCTATCGCATTTTACTGAGAACAGTTCTTAGGGAGACGGTCAGTACGCTCCGCTCTTCCCCTTCCTCTACTTTTAGGTCAACCCCTACGCTCCCTCGGAAGCCCTTCTAAGTGGTCAAAGTGGGGGAGGTGTGCGATCAGCTCATGAATAACTCATGAGGCCCGCCCCTTTCGGGGGAAACCACGCCCCTCCAAGTCGCGGTGACGCACGTTGCGTGTACCAAACCTGAGGAAGCGACGTAATAGTCTCCGCCCCTAGGACGGAGGGCGGGGCGCCATCTCCAGCACGTGCTGCATCTACCCGCGCAAGCCCAAAAGGGTGTGCGCAGGCGCTGCCCACTAGGGGGAGGAAGGAGGCGGGGTAGGGAGGTTGTTGGGTTTAGAGCCGGGCGGAGACCGCCGAGACTCATTCCTCAGGAACAAGGGAAGGGTGTCAAGGAGATCTTTTCACACCAGCTCCCCCGTCCCCCGCCAACGGTGGGTGGGATCGCGCGGCAGAGACAAAGGATATCAGTAGGGCCGGAGATAGCTGCGACGGGAAGTAGGGTGTCAGTTCAGGGTGGTGGGCTTTTGGGGGGACGGCGGGGGTTGTATTTAAACTCCTGGAGCCGTTAAGTTGGTTCGTACTCTAATGAGCGCGCAGCCGGGGTGGTGGCGGAGTGCGCATGCGTGGTTTGGGGGCGAGAGGAACGCGCTCCAGCAGTGCGCGCTCGCGGCGAAGTGCTAGTGGTAGAGGAGAAAGGGGTCGGCGCACGCGCGGTTGATTCCTCGAGTTCGGGTCTCGCGGGCATCTTGTTTTGGTCTCGCGGGCGAGTGGGGCGCGCTTTCGGGGAGGTGTTTGGGCGCGAGACTAGGCGAGAAAAGCAGGGCTGCGCGCGCACTCGGGAAAGGGGGGAAGGGAGCGGGGTCTAGGAAGAGGAGTTAAGCCCCCTGATCCCCTCGTTACCCTCGACTGGGACGGAATAAGGGGAGGAAATGATCGAGATGGCGGCGGAGAAGGAGCCTTTTCTGGTGCCGGCCCCGCCGCCGCCTCTCAAAGATGAGTCGGGTGGAGGGGGCGGCCCCACGGTGCCACCGCACCGAGAGGCCGCCTCCGGGGAGCTCCGCGGCGAGACGGAGCGTGGGCCGGGCCCTCGCGCACGCTCGGCGGGAGCCCCGGCTTCTGGGGCCAGCAGGGAGAGCCCCGGGGCCACATCCACCCCTCGAGGCGGCTCGGCGCAGCAGCACCGAGGGGGCGGCCCCCAGGCGCAGTCGCACGGAGAGGCCCGCTTGTCGGATCCCCACGGGCGAGCCGCTCCCCCGGACGTGGGGGAGGAGCGACGGGGAGGGGGCGGAACAGAACTGGGCCCCCCTGCCCCTCCTAGACCCCGTAATGGCTATCAGCCCCACCGGCCCCCTGGGGGGGGCGGGGGTAAGAGGAGAAATAGCTGTAATGTAGGGGGAGGTGGTGGAGGCTTCAAACATCCGGCCTTCAAGAGGCGCAGACGGGTTAATTCGGACTGTGATTCTGTATTACCTTCCAACTTCCTCCTGGGGGGCAATATCTTTGATCCACTGAACCTGAATAGTCTCCTGGATGAGGAAGTGAGCCGAGCACTTAATGCGGAGACCCCTAAGTCATCCCCACTTCCGGCCAAGGGGCGAGATCCAGTGGAGATCCTCATCCCCAAAGATATTACTGACCCGCTCAGTCTCAATACTTGCACTGATGAGGCCCAAGTAATTCTTGCATCGCCACTCAAGACTGGTCGCAAGCGGCATAGACACCGGGGACAGCACCACCAGCAGCAGCAGGCAACTGGAGGGAATGATAGCCACTCCGTGCTGTCCACAGCCCCCCTCACTCCCTCACTCCACGGGGAGGGCACCACACAGCAGCAGCGGCACAGGGGCCAGAACCGGGATGCCCCCCAACCCTATGAACTCAACACAGCCATCAACTGCAGGGATGAGGTCGTGTCTCCCCTTCCATCTGCCCTGCAGGGTCCCTCAGGCCCCCTTTCAGCCCCTCCAGCTGCCTCAGTTACCTCTGCACCCCCGTCTTCCTCCTCACGACATCGAAAACGTCGCAGGACTTCCAGCAAGTCGGAGGCAGGGGCTAGGGGTGGAGTCCAGGGTCCAAAGGAAAAGGGCCGAGGGAGTGGGGGAGGCCGCCACCACCACCACCCACTACCTGTAGCAGGCTTCAAAAAGCAGCAGCGCAAGTTCCAGTATGGGAATTACTGCAAGTACTATGGGTACCGCAATCCTTCCTGTGAGGATGGGCGCCTTCGGGTGTTCAAGCCTGAGTGGTTTCAGGGCCGGGACGTCCTAGATCTGGGCTGCAATGTGGGCCATCTGACCCTGAGCATTGCCTGCAAGTGGGGCCCGTCCCGCATGGTGGGCCTGGATATCGATGCCCGTCTCATCCACTCGGCCCGCCAAAACATCCGACACTACCTGTCCGAGGAACTGCGTCTCCCACCCCAGACTTCTGAGGGCGACCCAGGGGCAGAGGGTGAGGGAAGGAGCACCACCGTCAGAAAGAGGAGCTGTTTTCCGGCCTCACTGACAGCCAGCCGGGGTCCCATCGCTGCACCCCAAGTGCCCTTGGATGGAGCGGACACATCAGTCTTCCCCAACAATGTTGTCTTCGTCACGGTAAGAGGGTCAGAGGGCTCTTGGAATAGGGGCCAGGTATGAAGATGAGATTAAATTGGAATGTGGCAGGGGAAGATTATGACCCAGAGGGATTTCTGTGGATTCACTCTTCACTAGGAGAGCCAGGTTCCCAAGAGAAGGGCGCAGATTGGTAAGTGAAAGCCTCAGGAGGGTATCTCTCCCCTCCTAAAATATGGAAAGATGGGGTCTCTACCGTGGGGCTTCAAGCTTGGGATTCTTTCTCATGACAAGAATCTCTTCCCCAAGATAAGAGGCTGATTCTTTTTTCCCTCTTATGGGCCTGGACTGTAATCCAGACCAGTCCACCTTCCCTTGAGGGATGCTGCTCATTAGGGGATTCAGTCCAAATGGAACCTTGCCCTCAATACTACTGAAGGAACATGAGGGTGGGTACCTGACATGGAATGTCTTGACAGGAGGGGAAGGTTAGGGTAGTGGCAGACTAATAGTTTCTTTACTTTGAAAGAGACCTTGTTTGTATCAGCTGCTTTTGTTTCCCTAAGTACAGAGTTAGTTGAAGAGTGTTAGGGCCAGTGCGTGACTCACTCGGGAGAGTGTGGTGCTGAAAACACCAAAGCCATGGGTTCGGATCCCTATGTAGGGATGGCCCGTTAGCTCACTTGGGAGAGCGTGGTGCTGACAACACCAAGTAGGGTTAAGATCCCCTTACCGATCATCTTTAGGGGAAAAAAAAAAATGTTGGTGGCCAAGAACCCAAATGGCTTGGCTTTAGATCATCTTCATGTTGACCCTAGATAGTGTAAGGGGGAAGAATCAGAGACTGCTGATGAGGAGAGAGTACCATGCCTGGCAGAGAGTCTGTCCCCTGCCTGCACATAGCTTCCCATAAAACACTCTAGTTAGGCCATCTGCAGTGTGTTGGGTTAAGTTTGAAGAATGGACTTTGCAGAAGGTGGTGACAGGCTTATCATCTAGAAAAGGTTTCCTAAGGGATATGGCTTTTCACTTCTCTCAGAGAAAGGAAAGAATAGTCCTGAGACTTTATTAGCCCCAGCTTCAGGAAGGAACCATGGGTCTGCCTTTGAAATCTGGGTTAGGTGCCCTTGCATAACATTGAGTCACTCTACTAATGTTGGTGGGTGGGAATAAACACAGGACAGGGTCTTGGGAGAACCCCAGTATTCTCTCTCTGAAATTTGATTCCAGCTTGGAAGATTTCATGGATAATTTGCTCCGTTTAAAATTACCCAGGCTCCCTTTTCATGCTCTTCTGGTTTACCACCAGTAGGAAGTAAGAGGCAGGAAGGTATAAAGAGAGAAAATGAGACTCAAAGAAGACACCATTTGGGAGTTAGTCTGAGGAGTGTCACAGAAGAATGTAACCACTGGCTAAAGTGAGGCTTTAGGACTTCTGTCTCAGAGGCTGCAGAGCAGGTTGTATGGGGGCAGTGGTTCTTTTAATCCATCTGTTGACCTCACCCCCAATTCTTGCCCTCAGGGTAACTATGTCCTGGATCGAGATGAGCTGGTGGAGGCCCAAACACCCGAGTATGATGTGGTGCTCTGCCTCAGCCTCACCAAGTGGGTACATCTGAACTGGGGAGATGAGGGCCTGAAGCGCATGTTTCGCCGGATCTATCGGCACCTGCGACCTGGGGGCATCCTGGTCTTGGAGCCCCAACCCTGGTCATCCTATGGCAAAAGAAAGACACTCACGGTGAGTTGGGTTTCAGTGGGAATGGGGAACAGCCCTTCCCTTGGTTGAGGCAAGAAAGGCATCAAAATTAGAGATTTTCTGAACAAGGCATAAAGGCTTTCTTATGGGTGAGGGGAGGAGGCGACAAGCTGAAGTGGTCCTCTCCCTGCCTTTCTCCTTAGGAAACAATCTACAAGAACTACTATCGAATCCAGCTGAAGCCAGAGCAGTTCACTTCCTACCTGACATCTCCAGAGGTGGGCTTCTCCAGCTATGAGCTAGTGGCCACACCCCACACCTCCTCCAAAGGTAAGGCTGGCTTATTTTGTTGGGAGAGGCTGGTCCTGACTGAGAGGGTGCAGACGCTGTGAAGAGTCTAGAGGTCCTGCCAGCCCCTCCTGATTACGCACTCTCCCCTCAGGCTTCCAGCGTCCTGTGTACCTGTTCCACAAGGCCCGTTCCCCCAGCCACTAAGTGGCCCCCTGAACAGAAAGTGTGAAGAGGCTGCTCTTGTTACTCCAAGGACCTGGGGGAAGAGGAAAACATCCCAAGGTCTTTCCTTTCTGACTCCAGAAATCGTTTCCTTTCTTGGATCTGCAAAGAAAGCTTTTCTTATGTTGCTGCCCCAGGCTCCTCTCTACACCTCTGGCACCTAAGCAGCAAGCCCAGCTGTGCTGGAGTTACCATCATCTTCCTCTCCCCCAGCCTAGTGGGCTGGATGGCATGGACTGTTTGGTGACCTCTGTTCTCCTAGGGTATGGGAGGTGGGGGGTGTCATTCTCAAGTTCTCTAACCCTTTCCTCCTGTTCTCCCAAGGAGAGAGATTCCCATTTCTCCTCAGCCCTTGTCCCTAGCTGCATTTCAATGGACCACGGATAAATGAACTGAGGGTTAGTGGGGGAAGCATGGCAGCAAGGCACACAGGTACTGTGAAAATCTTCCCTCTGCTGTCCCCCAGTGGGAGAGGGGTTGGGTTTTGAATGTGAGAACAGCACAATAAACTTGATGTCTAGGGCAGTGGCCCCCACACTGTGTCTGGTACTTTCTAGCTGGTGGGAAAGAGATGGTCCATGCCTCCCAGTAGAACCTGTGTGTCCTCTCTGCCCATACTAGAGTCTCAAGGAAGAGGACAGGTTTTTCAGTGGTTGGGAAGATGGTTGAGTCAGTCAAATCTACATGCAAGTACACAGAACCCTAGACAGGAAAAGTAATAATGCACATTTTGACGTGAGAATTGAAGAGTCTGTCTTTTCTCCACCCAAAAAAAACTCTGTTGACAGTTTTTTTGATGGGAGCAGAAGGCTACCTTTAGAAGTCAGTGGAGTTTAAGTGGGTGTAGAAAAAGTTACTTTGGACCAAAGCCACCTACCCGCTCTAGAGCCAACCACCCACCTTTTCTGTGCGGTGGAATTAGACTTACAGTTAACATGAAGCTCTCCAGTGGCTTGTCAAGTGTTACTGGATCTTTGGACATTCATTCAACAAATATTGAGCACCCTTGGATCAGGTATAAACAAGGACAAGGCTCTTAAAGGTAAAAACAAGGAGATAATTTCAGTAACCCAGTGTAAGCAGCTACTTTGCAAGCCTCTTGAGACAAGTTATCAGGGAAGGCCTCCATGAAGTGTAATAGGCTGAGACCCACACTTTAAATGATCAGAAACGGGTAGTGCAAAGAAATGAGTGTGGTGTCATCAAAAACAACGGTGGTGGCTGTGACTGAAGTTAGGGGGAGAGGCAGGTAGGGTGGTGAGGAAAGGGTATCTGAATTCCTGACTTTGACAGTGTTTTCCACATGCCATGACTTTACCACGTTCCAAAAAAGGCCAAAAACTCGATGTCTGGGCAGCTTCCAACCTGATGCTAAGTGGACCAAAACGCCTGAAGGGGCTTATAGCCCCATTTTAGGGTTCCCAAGAAGAGTCCCATTTGTTAGCAAAACCACTTTATTCTGAAAAATAGTTTTAAAGCACAAAAGTAAAAACTAACAATCCGGGGGGCTTTGAAGTCTAAGCCTCCCATCGCCTGAGTGTCCGATGCATGAGGAAGCTATCCTCTGAAGGGCGGGTCCGGAGTTTAAGCCGAAGAGGGAGCAGACCGTCCAGGATCAAGTGTGGAGATTCATAAAATAGTGTTTCTGGGTCACACAGGATGGTCATGTCTGGCCCTGGCCCAGGTGGATCCTGTTAAAAGAGTTGGGGCCCAAAGCAATGTTACGTTCGGCGAGGAGGAAAATCCGCGACGGGGTGGGGGCGGGGGTAGACCGGAGGAAGCCCAAGCCCTGGTCCCTTCACCTTTGGGGGCGGGGCTCGGGCCTGCAGTGGCAGAAGCGCCAACCTCTCCCTCAGCGCAGCGTTCAGAACCTGTTTCTCTGGCACCTGCAGGCTCACCAGGTCCTGGAAGAGCCGCTTGGAGCGCGGCACGTTCAGCCCTGAGACCGCAGGGAGCGCGGAGGTTAGCGGTGCCCCTCACCCCAACTCCCGCGCCCGGCCGGCCGCCCGACCCCCTCACCCACGGTCATGCTTTCCTCCAGGATACTACGGATCTGGAAAGATTTCCTCAGCTGTTCTTCCACGGCCTTGGCGGCATCAAACGGACCCTCGGCTGCGGCCCGCGCCGCCTGCAGCTGGAGGCTCAAGGCCAGGCTGCTGTGCAGCGCGGGCGCTTCTAGCTCGTGCGGCGTAATAACTTCGTATAGCATACATTATACGAAGTTATACGACTGAGCTGTCACTAGGCAGACTTAAAGTGGTTCTCACAGGCTTTTTCTAGAGGATACTACGGATCTGGAAAGATTTCCTCAGCTGTTCTTCCACGGCCTTGGCGGCATCAAACGGACCCTCGGCTGCGGCCCGCGCCGCCTGCAGCTGGAGGCTCAAGGCCAGGCTGCTGTGCAGCGCGGGCGCTTCTAGCTCGTGCGGGGCCGCGGACTTGTTGCTCGGTGCAGCGGCCGCCGGCAGCGGCTCGGACCGGACGGGGGAGGGCGGCGCCAGGCGGAAACGGACCTGGGAGCAGAGAACGGGGCATTAAAGAGGTGGGCGCGAGGTTCTCAGCTGGCTGGGGGCCAGGCCGTCCACCAACTCACCTGCCGCCCCTTGCGAGTCCCGCCCCGCCGCTCCGCCCTCCCCTTCCGCCGGCCGGGGCTGCCATTCCGCAGCTCGGGGCTGTCGGGCCGCGGACTCAGGCTCAGGTCCAGGCCGGGCTCGGGCAATGGGGCTCGAGGTTCCGCGGCTCGGGGTTCTGGGGGTGAACCCGGCGCCGCCACGCCCTCTTCCCCTTCCACCGATTCCAGCTCTGACTCCCCACAGCCCATCATCTCGGAGTTACTGCAGGAGGGCGGTGATGGTGGCGTGCCAAGGATCACAGCACGCAGTATCGCCACCTCATCCTTTTCCCCGCCTCTCCCAGATGCCGCTACCGGAAACCGTTAGCCCTAACCCACGAGGGCGGAGACAGCATCCCGGCACACTTTATTGGCGCTCCTAGGCGTCATTTCCTTTGCTCCGCCCCCCGCTTCCCGGTGGGCTTCCGTCCGAGCAACCTTAGCACCGCCCCTAAGCGAGGGTTTTAGCGCTGAGGCGCGTTGAAGCCTTACGGGTCTTCATCATGGCCACTTCTCCTTTCGTAAACTCCCATGTGGTATTTTTGCCAGGCAGAATCTTCGCCAGGCTGTTTTGGGGTACCGAGTACGTCAGTCCTCCCTCTTGGGGCGACAAATGGAGCAGCTTTAACTTAACGGGCCAGTGCCCTCATTTAGACATCTGCACTGTGCCCCCACTGTATCTCCGCGTGTTCCGTCGCCTCCAAACTTGTACCGTATCTTTCCTATATGAGTGGGGGTGGGGCTCTCTGATCCCAGCCCAGTTTCCCACCTGGGACCCATCTATTTTTGCAGCACTTTGTGACTTACTTTCCCCTTCGAGAGTTCCCTAAAGTATTAATCTGTATAAAAATTAGATATTTGTGTATGCTAGGTACAGTAAAAAAAAAAAAAGCCTCGGTGGATTCATCCTGGACCCTAAACTTCAGGTAGCGGAAGACCCCTGGACTGCAGGGCAGAGGAGATTGGAGCTCCCACCCGTTCCCTGTGTTCCTTGGGGCAGGTGTCTTCAGTTCCACAAGCGTCCAGGTTATTCTTGTGTAAAATGTACTAAGTTGGGTTCAGGATACTTGAGGCCCTCCCCTGAATGACCTAGTGTTCATTCAGCAGGCATGTTTATGTACCACTTTTCAGTCCGAGAGTTTTCACGTCGTTTATTTTATCTTCCCAGCAAATGCTGTGGAAGATCAATAAGAATGGACAGCGGAGCCCGCATTTTACAAAAAAAAAAAAAAAAAGATTTTAAGGGTGAATTTCCATAGTAAAATACTAAAGGCTTTTCTCCTAAAGTCAGGAATTAGTATGTTCATTGTCTCTACTATCTAATTGTGAGAGGGAATAGGGCGGTACAAATATAAATACTACATTTTTTTAAAGTGGAAGTACGAATATAAGCAAAATGGTGACATATGGGGAAGGAGAGAACAGAATGAAGGGAAAAGAGGCAAGACATCTGTGAGTATATGTACTTTGTTTTGTAAATTTGACCTTGGGGCCGGCCAGGTGGCGCACTGCTACAGTGCGCAGCTTGGGAAGCACGGCGGCGCTCCCCCCGAGGGTTCGGATCCCACATACAGACCGGTTCCCACTCACTGGCTGAGTGAGGTGCAGGGAGCAACACCGAGGGTTGCGATCCCGTTGCCGGTCCCGGGCCGGTAAGGGCGCGACACTGAGGGCTGCGATCCGTTGCCGGTCATGAAAAAAGACAAAAGGAAAAAATAAATAAATAAATAAATAAATTTGACTTTGGAAATGTATACGTGTGACATGATTATATGATAAAAATTAATTTAAAAATCAATCTCTAAAAGTTGGAAGTAAAATGAAACAACCTAAATGTGTATCTAGTTGGTGACATAACTACACAGAATGGAACTCTTCTGAAATGACGTTAAAACAGTAATTTGAACATCCGTAAGATCTACTCTAAGGACAAAAATAACGGACTTTAAAAATTTTTTTTTTAAAAAGCCATAAAGTCTTACATTGTTCTTGGTAGTCTTGTTGGGAATAAGTGAAAATGTGTAGGGTAAAACAGATAATCGTGTTGATGTAATCAGAACTGGAATTTCAGCATGGGAGATGCAGATGTAAAATCAGTGATATTATGCAAAATCCCTGTAGTCTTAAATTTGGATAGGATTTGAATTCATAGTGTGTTTTACCTTAAATTAAAAAGTATCTATATCCTAAGTCTGTCCACTGAAAAGCCCTTAGAAACAATGACACCCAGTGAGCACTCCTGGCCCCCAGATTTTGGTCTCTGAGCATTTGAAAACCTGTACACAAATGTAAATAGCAGCTTTATTCCTAGTAACCAAAAACTGGAAATGAACCAGATGTTCTTCAACAGGTAAAGGGTGAAACTGTGGGACATTCATACCATAAAATACTACTCAGTAATAAAAAGAAACAAACTACTGATACATGCAACAACTTGGATGAATTACCAGGTAATTATGCTGAACCAAAAAATGCCAATTCCAAAAACTTACATGCTGTATGGTTTCATTTATAAATCATTTTAGGAATGACAAAAGTTTAGAAATAAAAGAAAGATTTAGTGGTTGCCAGATGTTAGAGTTTAAGTGGAAGGGGTGGTGAGAGGGAGGTGCTGCAGTGTCACTAGGGATACTTTGGTGTTGAAACTGTTCTTTACTGTGGTGGTGGATACACGAATCTACACAGGAGATAAAATCATATAGACTTCAATACACAAACACACACAAATGATTAGAAAACCAGGAAATGTAAATTAGGTTTGTGGATTATGTGAATGTCAATGTCCTGGTTATGATAGTATAGTTTTGCAAAATGTTACTATTGGGAAAACTGGGGAAAGTATGGAGGTGACCTTTCTGTATTATTTTTTATAACTGCATATGAATCTACAATTATCTCAATAAAATATTTAATTAAAAATAATGTTGGGGTTGGGAACAGTGCTTGAGGGTATATAGATAAAACAAGTTTAGCCAAATGTTGATATTGTTGAAGCTGAGTGATGGGTACATGAGGTTTTATTATAATATTTTCTCTACTTTTGTATATATTTGAACATTTCTATGATTAAAAGTTTTTTGCTTTTTTAAAGAAGGCTGAGGCAGCTTTGGCACACCGGAAGTACTGAAGCTTAAACTCAAACTGTCTCCCAGGTCTTGGCTGTGGTGATGAATATATAGGCCCAACAGGAACCCTCAACCATGAACTCAGTGAACTTGATTTCTTAGCTTTAAATTCTAGTCGTTACTTTGCCTCAGGCCCCAACACAGAGATGGAAACAAGCCACTCTGTTTGCCTGGTTAACGTTGTGGGCCTCCAGGAAGTGAAAAGTTCACTGATGACTTTAAAAAAGCAATGTGAATGTGAGGATGGGTGGGTGGAGGTGAGGGAAATGAAGGGATGAAGGGTCTCCATCCTGCCCACACTCTTCCTGGGATTTTTTTTGGCTGGGCCATGCTGGGAGGCCAGGAATTGCTTTTCCTCTTAGGAAAACAAAAAACTTCCCTTTGAGAAGGTACTGATAAGTGATGAAGAACTCCTCTAACCCTAACTTTAGGGCCTCCTCATGGCACCCTCTTCTGCAAAGATGATTCCAGTTACATGCTACACCAAACCAATCCCTGAAGGGGAGCAGTAGGGGGGAGGAGCTGGAGAGCAATGGATTAGGAGAGAAATTATAAATATGATCCAGGAACTGCCCACCCCCGACTCTTAGTAAAAGAGAAGAGAAACAGAAAAGCTTCCTTGACCCCAAGGGAGCCTTGCCCAAGCCTTCTTTGACTATCCCCTCCACTCTCCAGTCTGGGAAATCTCATCTCTGTATCATCTCCCATCTAGGGCAGGGGAGGGAGGGAGAGGCAAGAGGGAATGCTGAAGGAAGAGGGAAAGAGGTCCCACTAAGACTCTCAGGTTCTGTCTTGATGGGTTAGACCTCACCAGGTAGAGCTGTTCCCCTCAGTCATGTAAGGCTGCTGGAAGGGGCAACCCCAGACCTGGATGCTGGTTTGGAGAAAGCAAGTCTGGGTGCTAGGAGAGATCATTCAGTGTTATCCCTGAGCTTATGCTGGGCCTGACACTGTGGGTAGGATAGGCAGGACAGGAGACAGGCCAGGGTCAGAGGTCCTTCAAGGGACTATGCCCTTGAGAAGGACCGTGCCTCCAATACTGTGATCCATGGTGTGGCTGGGTCTGCTGCAGAGGGCAGATGGGAGGACCTGCCAGGGTGGGGGGCAGGGGAAGAGCAAAAGCTCCATCCAGGAAAGCGCTCCCCCAACAGGGCCAAGACAGGTCAAAGAGAGACAGCAAACCTCTAACACCACCCTCTGCAAACCCCACCTGCAGGGTCCCCTCACCTCCTGTCTCCTGTTCCCAAACTTTCTCCTGCCTATAGGTAGTGGCCAACACAGAGACACTTTCACACTGTGTCCCTGTCACATGGGGAGTGCAGGAGAGTGGGAGTGGGCAACCTTGCACTTCAATGGCTGTGGTCCACCCCTCAGATGCACAAACATCCAGGCTCCCAGTCCCAGAGCATGTGTTCCCATCCTACCTAATCTCAGGGCTGGTGGGTAGACCCCCCAGCAGAAGGTTAAGTGGGTCTGAGGTGTCTCAGCCTGAGCTCGTCATTCCCAACTGCCTTCATTCGTCTCTCCCAATCCTCAAAGAATGGACCAAGATCCAGGGAAGAGTGAACAGGTCAGGCTGAAAGCCAACACAATGACAGAGCCCCTCAGCCTGGCCCCTCTAGCAGCAGGACAAAGAACAGGAGGGCCAGAATGAGACCCATTAGGCATGAGTTTCCAGGACATGGGATGCGGCCAGTCACTCAGTTGGAGAGAGTTGGGGGTAGGAGACTTACTTGGAAGTTGTCCACAGTCTAGGTGAGGTATAGGAAATGAAGAATGGAAAATTGGATGAAGCCAGAAAATCAAAGAGAAAGAGATTTTTGGGGTGGGGTGTGAGAATTCAATGGAGCTGGTCGCAGCAAGGGGGAGAATACCAGACTGAGGGCCAGAGCCTGCTGGGAAGGGGATGGCCTTAATGTCAACGATAGGAACAGTAGGTTGATTGATGCCAGTTCATTGGGGCCTAAAAGAGCCAGGGAGAGGCTGGTCAAGGACTGCTAGAACTATAAGGAGACGGAGGCCGTGAGCAAGGTGGCAGCATCAAAGGCATAAAAGCTGGGACCAGAGTCCAGGAAGCTGGGGCCACAGGGAGGAGGAGTTTAACTACGCGATGGACACATGGTAGGTCACTAGGTC